CTGGCAGGCCACAACACTGGGTTTCAGAGAGAGAGAGAGATGAGATATTGAAAGAATGAGTAGATTTGCAAGAAATGGAACTGATTGATGAAGGTAAAAGAATATGAAGCTTAGCTGGTATATGTAATTGTTGCTCCCTGTGATCACAACTCTACTAAGAAGGATCCTAGGATGTTTCATACAAGGGGAGTAGTCTAGTACAGGGGTCTCCAACCTTGGCAACATTAAGACTTGTGGACTTCAACTTCCAGCGAAGCTGGCTGAGGAACTCTGGGAGTTGAAGTCCACAAGTCTTAAAGTTGCCAAGGTTGGAGACCCCTGCTCTAGGACCTCTATGGATCAGCTTGCATCCTGGCTTGGATAAGTACCAAAAAGTTTTAGGATTTAAGTAGCTATACGTGGAGTGATTACAGCATAGCCATTACAGTAGCCTGGAAATCTGGGTTAGACAGGATGGTTTAAGACTAGGGTCAGAAGTAACATGCAGACTAAAAGGCGGTGTGCAGAAACCTATCCTGGCAGCGTGCACTTTCAGATGTAAGTAAGCCTCTCCCAATCATAATGCTACTTTCTTTATGAGGCTTTCTTGAGCCAGCAGCAAAATGTCCCCCTCTAGCTCTGCGTCAGCAATAGGGGGAAAAAAACCAAGACTGAAGTGTAGAAACCTCCCCCTAAATTATTAAACATTTTAGCACAGCCTAAAGCTGTGAGATGAGATACTGTGAGATGAGATACTCATCCGCAGCGTGCTTTCATCTATTACTCGCTCCCCTCCTTTTTTTCCTGCCCACCCACCTTTCTGGAATCAGGCGGGGAATGCCAAGTAGCAATGACATCACTCGGGGGCCACCCCATTACATCACCCTTGCAGAACTTCCCAAACTCTAGAGAGAGGACGGCTAAACCAATCCAGAAGCTCGCTGGTTTAACCCTTGCACAGCTGCTACCCTCTCAACCACGCTGCTGCTGCTTCCCAATCTTCTCGCTGCTTCCCTTAGTATTTGGCAGGGCTACACTCTTTGTCGGCAAGGACAGCACAGTCTCTGGTGGAACAATTAAAGATCTGGTGGGGGAGGGGGGAGGATTTGAAGAGAGAGAAGATCTATCCTGTATGTTGAATGTGTTTCTACAACATCCTTAAGCAGTCAAATAAAGACTAGAAACTTGCATTTGCATACCACACGAAGAGGTTTACTGTATCAAAAGTGCTTTTTCAAAAGGCAACTGGATTGGGTTTTTTTTCTTTTCTTTTTCAAGAAGAAGAAGAATTAGGAGGAGGAAAAGAAGGAGGAGGAGGAGGGGAGGAAGAGGAGGAGGAGGAGGAGGAGAAGAAGAAGGAGAAGGAGGAGGAGGAGGAAAGGAGGAGGAGGAGGAGGGGAGAAGGAGGAGGGGAGGAAGAGGAGAAGGAGGAGGAGGAGGAGAAGAAGGAGAAGCAGGAGGAGAAGAAGGAGGAGGAGGAGGAAAAGAAGAAGGAGGAGGAGGGGAAGAAGAGGGGAGGAGGAAAAGGAGAAGGAGGAGGAAGGAGGAGGAGAAGGAAAAGGAGGAGGAAGGAGGAGGAGGGAGGAAGAGGAGGAGGAGAAGAAGAAGAATTAGGAGGAGGAGGAGGAGAGGAGGAGAAGAAGAAGGAGGAGGATGGGAGGAAGAGGAGGAGGAAAAGAAGAATTAGGAGGAGGAGGAGGAGAGGAGGAGGAAAAGAAGGAGGAGGAGGAGGAGGGGAGGAAGAGGAGAAGAAGAAGGAGGAGGAGGAGAAGAAGAAGGGGAAGAAGAAGAAGGAGGAGGAAGGAGGAGGAGGAGGAGGAGAAGGAGAAGGAGGAGGAGAAGGAGGAGAAGGAGGGGAAGAAGAAGAAGGAGAAGGAGGAGGAAGGAGGAGGAGGAGGAGGAGGAGAAGGAGAAGGAGGAAGAAGGAGGAGGAGAAGAAAAGGAGGAGGAAGGAGGAGGAGGGGAGGAAGAGGAGGAGGAGAAGAAGAAGAATTAGGAGGAGGAGGAGGAGAGAGGAGAAGAAGAAGGAGGAGGATGGGAGGAAGAGGAGGAGGAGAAGAAGAAGAATTAGGAGGAGGAGGAGGAGAGGAGGAGGAAAAGGAAGGAGGAGAGAGGAGGGGAGAGGAGGAGAAGAAGGAGAAGGAGGAGAAGAAGAAGGAGGAGGAAGAGGAGGAGGAGGAGGAGAGGAAGGGAAGAAGGAGAAGGAGGAGGAGGAGGAGAGGAGGAGGAGGAGGAGGAGAAGGAGGGAAGGAGGAGGAGGAGGGGGAAGAAGAAGAAGGAGGAGGGAGAAGGAGAGAGGAGAAGGAGAGAGGAGGAGGAGGAAAAGAAGAAGGAGGAGGAGGGGAAGAAGAGGAGAAGAAGAAGGAGGAGGAGGAGGAGAAGAATTAGGAGGAGGAGGAGGAGGAGGAGGAGGAGAAGGAGGAAGAGGAGAAGGAGGAAGAGGAGGAGGAGGAGGACATTTCGCTTTTCCTCCAAGAAGCTTCATCAGTTCTGGCAGGATGGTGGGGGCTATGGAGGGATTCGTTCTGACAGGATGGGGGCGGGGTTGGAAGAGCTTCAATGGAACTTTTTTTCCATTGAAATTTTTCCATTGACATTCAATGGGGGGAGAAAAAGGTTGGAATGGCCTCAAGAGCTCTCAGGGAGAATGCTGCATAGTTACTGTATATTTTACAGGTATATTGTATATTTTAATTATTTCTATGAGGAGGAGCCTTAGCATACTGCATAAGCCTCCTTTATTTATGTTTATATATTTTTTTATTGTTCATGTCTCCTATTGTGAGCACCTCTGAAAATTGAGTTGTTGAATGGCCTGGCTAAGTGTGCTGCGTGAATAACAGCAGTGGGATAGATTGCTGACACAGTTAGCCAATTTTTGTTTCCTAAGAGCCACAACCAAGCCCCCATGCAACTACTACACAACTCTGACTGGTTTGCATGAGCACAGAAGGAAATTGCAAGACCACAAGGAAATGACACCAGAATCATATCCTTACACTTTCATTCAATGCTTTAGCCCAGTGTTCTGTTTCTAATGAAGGACCCCCCAAATGTCTGTGGGCAATTGTGCTAATTGAAGGTTTATCTCTTGAACCAAGACACCCTTTCCCCCTAACAGCCTCAGAAAAGCCCACAAGTTACAACTCAGACAACAGCCCCTCTTCAACTCCTCCCAGTTTTTTTTAAAAAATGTAATTTTTAAAGTTGCATTTACTTTCCTAATTATCATGGCTATAACAGCAGTTCTACAGAATAATCCTAATCCTGATTCCCAAATCCGAAGAACAGGGAAGGAAGGCCAGATGCTCTCCCTGCATTGCTCCTCAGCAACAAATACCATCGCACAACTATCTCTGGAGTCCAGCTGCTGGGTCTGCCCTCTCCCACACTCATGTCCCCTGCTTCTCTGAGTGGCAGCCTCCCCACCCCGTCCTAGGAAAGAAAATCCAAGAAAGAAGATCAAGGATAATATGCCGGCTCAAGGTTGACTCAGCCTTCCATCCTTCTGAGGTGGGTAAAATGAGGACCCAGATTGTTGGGGGCAATAGGCTGACTCTGTAAACCGCTTAGAGAGGGCTGTAAAAGCACTATGAAGCGGTATATAAGTCTAAGTGCTATTGCTAGTACTATAATTATTGCAGTCTTAACTACAATTAAGACAGAGAGCGGTATTTAGATTTTTTGTATCCTGTAATAACTCAACGTGATGAACATACCTAATAGCAATAGCACTTAGACTTATATACCGCTTCACAGTGCTTTTACAGCCCTCTCTAAGCGGTTTTACAGAGTTAGCATATTGCCCCTAACAATCTGGCTCCTCATTTTACCAGCCTCAGAAGAATGGAAGGCTGAGTCAACCTTGAGCCTGGTGAGATTCGATCTGTCAAATTGCAAGCAGCCAGCAGTCAGCAGAAATAGCCTGCACTGCATTCAAACCACTGCTCCACTGTGGCTAATACTCCTTTCCCCTCCTATTTTCCCCACAACAACCTTGTGAGGCAGACTGGGCTGACAGAGAGCGACTGACCCAAAATCATCCAGCTGGCTTTCATGCCTTAGGCAGGTCTAGAACTCATGGTCTCCAAGTGATGCCTTCACCATAAGGTTAAAAGGATCCAACCAAGAGGATCTAACCAGATCCTGCCTGCTAGGCAACAAGTTTGTGTCACTGCTTGTGGAAACACACAAGGCTCCCCAATGGATCTTTACGCACCATATTTTTTTTTTGTAATACCAACTTCTTCCCTCTTAAAAAAATATAAGTGATGCCAGAAACCATGGCTGCATCACCAGCAAGTCCTGCATTTTTTGAAAGATATGAAGAACAGATGATTGCAAAGCCAAGAATGTTGTGCTTGCAAGTGTTTTCTGGTTCCTATTTCAAATAAAGTCATGATTTCTATAAAGCTCTCTTCTTCGCTCTTTTATTCTTGCCTGTATCTGAAGTTAAAATTAAATGCAGGGCATTGCAATCATTTGCTGTGCCATCCTTTCATCTTTTCCACTCTCCCATTTTGCTCACTGTCAAACATAATTTGCAAGGTCCTTGGGGCAGAGAACTGTAGATTTGATCATGAGCTTCTTGAGCAAAAAGATATGCACTGCATAACAAAGCAAATAATGCAAAGCAGCACTGATGCAAGAGATCTAGCCCTCCCTTCGTTGTGGGGGTAATAAAATATGGCCTTCCCTTGCACAGGGATGTGAACTTTTGCTGTCCTTCAGCTGCGGGCTGGAAACTTCATCATCAACTGCAAAACCCCCTTGATCTGCCAAGCGTCTAACAGAGCACTGGGAACATCATAACAAATGATCAGAACAGAACTGAAAGCTTTTGCACGTCCCAACTCTTTGCTAACATGCTTTGTCCTACTTTAATTAAAACAAAAACAAAACAACCCCCCACTGATACTGGTTTATTCACTCTGATTCCTAAACCTGCTAAAACCTTTTGGCTCATAGAACTCAGCCAGTCAGAGATTTATCAGAAAGTACAAATGCCAAATGCAACTTACTTGGCTCTCGCCATCCGGAGGCGATTGCGTTTCAGCACAGTGGTCAGCATGGCTGGGAGAGTTTCCTTCTTGTCACCTGTCCACTGATGGCACTTAAAGGGCGACCAGGGGCATGTCGGTCCTTGCCTCCAGAGGGGCTCAGGGTTCTGCAGCACCCTTTGGAAACTTCCAATTGTCCACCTACTCCAAAGAGGCAGGGGAGTGACAAATAGTGGCACTGTCCCCTTGATCGGCACCCACTGCTCTGACTCAGGCGTCCGTTCTGCTATCTAACTACCAGCAGGGAGGAAGCTGTCTTGTAATCACAAAGTGAGACAGAACTTCCTTTGCGTGCACGCCTTCTCTGCACAACTTTTCCTCTGAGCGCCAACCCTCCAATGCAGCGGAGCAGTCCAAGTCCGGCTGTTAGAACCTCACCGACAGATACACAGCTAAATCCATGCGAGCTCCATGGAACGTTGCCCAACCCAGCCCAGGATGCTCCTCTATCAATCAACAACCCCTACCATTTTGGCTTCCTCGGTGCCTTTTCAACTACCAAACCAGCAGTCTGGGATACGGGAATATCATCAGCACACGTTGACACACAATGTTATCCATCCACAGCACTCGTTCAGCTTCTCCACACCCCCACCCGCATCCTCCCTTGAGCTGCGTTCTCCCGAGTGTGGGTGTGAGAGAGTGGTTGTTTTATTTCCGGCCAGATGACAGAAAGGAGACAGGCCTCAAGCAGATTAGCTTGGGACTCTGGGACTCAGCTTAATGCTGAACAAGCAAAGAATAGCAAGCCAGAGGACTCAGGAGGTCCTCCAGCTAATGCGTAGCAGGCAAGCCAACTCTTTGTGTTAACCAGCTGCTGCTATCGCTATTAGTAGTTGCTCAGCCCCAGTCATATGAAAGAGGAAGGAGTGATTGGGTGGGGGATGCAAAACCAAGAACAGAGAGCAGGAATCAAGAAACAGAAGAAGGGTATGGGTCTACACTCACCCCACGCCCCCCAACAAGGAAACACAGCTACTTATTTTAAATATTTATAGCCCAGATCTTATGGTTACAATCCACATAAAAGGCAAGACAGACGACTAAAATAAATACGGTAAGAACTTCATTTACAACACACAGTAACCATCCCAATGATATCACTAAGTTATGTTCAGAAAACATGCTTCGCTAACATCTGTTCATGGATCGAATGCCTTGCTTAGTTTTTACCATGATGAGGCTAATACGTTATAGTAATCCAAGCTATGAGACTTTATGATTCCCTGGACTACATGCACCCTCTAAATGAGTGACTTGAGTAAGCAGGTCAAGATATTGTGCCAATGAAGCCATACGGAGTGCTGAAGGGATAAAAGACAAAGTTAAACTGTAGATGTTACACGCTGAACACGAGAGTCAAAAGCCAGAGGCTTCTTTTTTGCTGAAAAGTCGAGAAAGTCAGGCCTGGTGTGGCCTGCAAAGGTAGCCAGAGCAATCAAGGCCATGTCCTGCATCCCAACGTACCTCTTTCAGGGGTGGGCTGCTAGGGGTTCGCAGGGGTTCGGGAGAACCTCTAGCTAAGATTCTGTGCAGTTCAGAGAACCCCCAAATCCCACTCCTGGTTGGCCCCACCCATCCCGCCCCTCCCAGGAGTCCCCACGAGGCCTGTTTTGGATGCAGGTACGTGCAGGGCGTGCGCGGAGTCTTTGGGAGGGAGAAAAACGGGCCTACCGGAAGTTCAGGAAGGCGGAAATGGGCCTGTTTCCTGCCTCCAAAGGGCCTCCGGAGCCCAGGGAGGGCAAAAAGGCCACCCCGCCATGGTGCAGGAGGCCGACTAGGCCACACCCACCATGGCCATGCCCACCCAGCAACCAAGCAGAGAACCCCTTGCTAAAATTTTTGAAGCCCACCCCTGGCCTCTCTTAACCTTGGAGCCCTGAGGGGAAAAATTTGCCCTGAGGGGAAAATTTGATTGATTAAATAACCCCCCCCCTGTAGATTTCAGGGTTGAGATTAGACTTTCCTGGAGAGGTGCTCTCTCAAATATTGGGCTCCTAAAGCATGAAGGCTTTTCTCCAAAGCTTGGAGTTTGCCAATTACATACAGCAGCCAGCACAATTATTTTATACAGGAGAGCAGAAGATAGGAAGGAACCTCTCTTTCTTCATTGCTGGTTCTTCTATCCATCTCCACTACCTGTGATACAGTTTACTTGCATTTGGAGTCTACTGATTCTAATGAACTTCACACATCAGCCTTTGGGGGGGGGAGACCTCTCTTGTTTGATATTATCCAAAATCTCACACCTATTTTGAAAGGTTTGTTAAAGGGAGACGTAATGTAAGGGTTCAGAATTTAAAAGGGCAGTCCCTTTAGTTGCGATGGAGAATATCTATTTTCCCTAAATCATTTTACATGCCACAGGCAGCAAAAATTTTCCTGGTTCAGATCTTAAAACAGCTCCTGCTTTAAAATTAACCAGTTCCTCCAATTAATCCACAGACATTTCAGAGAGGATATCTGCAAATCAATTCCTACTTCTGAGTAAAAGGGATTATGTTGTGTGACTCAGTTATGCATTCACACAACACATTTAACCTGGTCAGTTTTCTGGAGGGGGCATTCACACAAGTTATTGACTGTAAACCAATAGGCTGGGTTTGCACAATATACTCAACAAGAGTGGGGAAAAAAACCACCTGATTTTGTATTCACAAAAGAGCAGATTGAGCCTGTTGCTGCTGCTGCTTGCAGGAAAGTGATCTACCTGATGATCCAGTGGCAGATGATGAATGAAAAGAGCAACTTCTTCAATGCAAAAGGAAGCAGCCATCTTGGCTGGCATCCCAGGCTCCTGTGCAGCTATAATTCTCAACATCTTTTTTAGCTAAAAAAAAAAAAAAAACCCCACGGTGATAAATCAGGGCTGAAGCCAGCAGAGGATGGCACAGAGGGGAAAATCCCTTGCCCTTAGGAAGAAAAAGTAAAGAAACTTGAAAAAATAGCCCTGTTTTTCCCCCAACTGCTTTAAACTTCCATTTGTACGTCCCAAGGTCAAAAGGGAGATTCCACTTAGGGCTATCAGAACAGAGATGCAGACACGAAGACAACCGCTGGAAGGCAACAAACAAATAAGAAGACTGCCTTTAGTGTCATCTAGTGGTCAGCCAGATTTTATAGCGCTACTTAATTCTCTGATCTTCATTCGCACAATATGAATCCGACACAAGGCAAGGTTATATGAAGGTATTTATTCTGGCCCTGATTCTGGTCCAGAAATATTTGCACAACACTCTGAAATAACCAGTTAAACATGTCAAGCAGATGTCACCAGCCATTTACAAAAGCGGGAAGCCCTCTAACCTCCTTGTTCAGATGGAGCAACGGTGCATGGAAGTTACTTTCTTGGAAGACTAAGGGGATTTTCAAAGCAAGGGTACTTCTTAATTCAAATTTATTGGCACCCTTCCAAAAGCCGGCACTATGGGATGTCTTTTACTGCGGTGAGCAATGCAAAAGCCTGCCAGCATGGCTGGCAAAGTTGCATAACACAAACCCAAATACTATCTGCTTGTTATTCCTAGTCTGTGGCATCTCTTCTTCCTAGCTTAAGTTTAATATTATGCCATAATTTGAGGTGCCTTTTGAGTACGTCGCATCCAACAAAGAAACATCCAGGATATGCCAGCGAGGGCCAAAGGACTGGAACATTTTGTTAGATTTTGAACATAGAATATAACTGGACAGTCTTTAACATGCAGTCTTTAAAATTCAGCGTTTAACATGACAAAAGCATCTTCTCTCCCAGGCACAAGGCCTGAAGCAGCAGCTGTGCTTGTTTGAAATGCAGTTCAGCTTGAGCAAAGCATCGATTGGCTGATACCTAGGATGTCATGAATATACTCTCCCTTCTTATTTCTCAGAAAAAGGCAGAATTGCACTTTTTCTACTAAAATATATCAAGGCTAATATTTCATCCAGGGTTGGATTACATCGTTGGGACTGTAATTCTAAGTAACTGAGCAATCATGAACACAACTCAGGTCAAGAGTACTTGATCACTGTTCCCACCATGGTAAGACCTAGAAACTGCTACAAGAAATGATGGTGATCACTAATTTAGAATGGCTTTAATAGATATTAGGCCAATTTATAGAGACCACACCAGGACAATTGCTTGCTTACTTCTTGCTTGCTTGTGCTTTAGCATGTTGTGTGAACCAGCCTATTTGGTTCACTGGAGTGATAATAGTAGTTAAATTGTTTGACAACTGGGGAATCAGATTCATCCTTGATCAGTTGCCTCACTGGATGGATCTGGCCCAGCTGTTATCGATCAGCTCAACCTTATTTCCAGTAAAATAAAATGAGAGATCCCCCTCTCCCCTGTAAATCAGTTGGAGCTATTAGAGCTGACAAATAAAGAACAACTGCTGTTACTCAAAAAACTAACCAGGACCCATGCAGTCTATCCATCTGGGTGCTTTTTCTCACTTTACATAACCACATTCTAGATCCGGGGTCTCCAGCCATGGAAACTTTAAGACTTGTGGACTTCAACACACAGAATTCCTCAGCCAGCTTTGCGAGTTGAAGTCTACAAGTCTTAAAGTTGCCAAGGTTAGAAACCACTGTTCTAGATGTCATAGAATGATCCAGATGGGCAATTTTGACATTAGTATGGATCTCTACATGCCCTCCTTCCTTTGGGCTCATAGCCAAGGAGATAAACCTCTGCAGCAAAACCTTCCCTCTAGACCATGGGTGTCAAACTCGATCACGTCACGTGATGTATTGCAATGTATTGCAATGTTTTTTTCCTTTGCAGGGGCTGGGGTGGGGTGGGCATGGCCTACGTGTGATGCATCTGGCCCGTAGGGCCACCAGTTTGATAGCCCTGTTCTAGACCTGGCAGTCCGCAGCCATCACAAAGACCCCCTACCTGAAACAGCTGGCATGCCAATCCGCGTTCAGGGCTTGCAAGTACTGACCGTCGTAGATGCTGTGGCTGCAACTGGCACATATTGGCAGGTCACTTCCTGGGGAACACAAAAGAGGTAATAAGAGGCAATTTTCTGCAGCCTAGAGAGGCAACTCAGCTGGAGCGGTATAACTCTGGATTCTGACATAAGACTTAGCCATTAAAAGTTAAAAAGTGCAAGTGTTGGTCCTTTTTCCTCTCTCAACTTCCCAGGCTCTTGGGTTAACTCTAAACATTCAATTCTTTTGAGACAGTCCTTGCCAAAATATAGAATGGAAATCTAATGCAAAGCAGAGTGCCTCTGAGAACATGCAAAAGGTTTTATCCATCAAAAACCTCGAGCTGAGCCTGCAGCTTCTAGCTTCTTAGTGTCTTTTTCCCCCA